TGGCCAATGTTAGAGTCTGCTCCCCCATCCAGTCTAATCGTTATCTTAATGGTAGGGGCTACGGTGCAATAGTGTAATCCACTGTCCGGCTAGTCTGTTCTTACAGTTTTTTTTTTTTTTTTTTTTTGATCTCTTAAAAATAAAATCGTACAGTACTTATTAAAAAATTTTTATTCCACGGTCTGCATATTGTGAAGGGTGCACATCGAAGACTTTTTAATCTTTGGAGAAAAGCCGCATTTGCATTTGATGAACTATGAGTCCAATAGCTTGAGAGAGAGGAGCTGCAATCGGCATATTTGATCCTATTGCTGGGCTTTGTTAAGCAGGACCCAAATCGGATCCACTTGTCCTATGTCATTGTTCCAGCTGTCTTTCTGTGTCTACTCTGTTCAGATTGATTGGGTGCTAAAGGCGGCACTGACTAAGACCAATTTATTTTTGGGTTAAATACCAAAAACTCTCGTGTGATTTGTCTAATGTTCACTTTACTTCTCTATGATTTGAAAACCTACAATTTGACTCCCTGTCGTTTCAACTAAAGTAAAAGTCTAACGAAAAACATCTAAACTAACGTCTGAAAGAAAAATGTCAAAATTGCCCCTCTATAAGAATTTTGCGTTAAGTACCAAAAACCCTCCTGTGGTTTGTCAAATGTACACTTTACCTCCATATGGTTTGAAAATATACAATTTAACTCCCTGTCGTTTCACCTAAAGTGAAAATCTAACAGAAATTCCGTTAAATACACTTTAGTTGAAACGACAGGGAGTCAAATTGTAGGTTTTTAAACCATAAGGAGGTAAAGTGAATATTAGGCAGACCACAGGGGAATTTTTGGTATTTAACCCTTTATTTTTTTAGGTTAAGAGAAAAAAAATTGAATGAATTCGGCTCTGATTACCACATCGTTTAAACGTGAGGTGCTTGCAAATGGTTCCTTAACACAATTCTCATGTCGATAATGGATTTCAAACACGCAATCTTTCGTGACGAATTGATCGATAACAGATTTTAAACACGTAATTTTTCGTAACGAATTGATCTGTTATTATCAATTGAGTCAACTTGTATTAGCACCGGAAGAGACCAACATTTATTCGCGTGCACGCTGTTCAGATTTGAGTGCTAAAGGCGGCACTGACTAAGACCAATTTGGTAGCCCGTACCATCAACTTGCCTGAATAAGGATAGCATGGATTGGAATACAAAAATAATTAGCACTAGCAGGAAAGTTGATAACTAGGCTGACGCGGGAGCTTAAGTCATCGCTCTTATCCTTAATTATCACATACCTGACTATTTACAAAATTTAATGGGCGTATTTTTCTGGTTTCTACCAGAGCGGTCCCTCCGGGCGTACGCTGCACTAAACCCCCTTTTCCATGATTTCTCCAACCCTAACAACGTGCAGCGGATTCGTCAAATTCGGCAGCCATTCTTGTGAATTGATTTTTTATGAAGTTTCTTAAGGATGCAGAGGGTAAATCTTTTTCTTTTCTTTTCTTTTTTTTTTTGGTTTTAGCTTTTGTTAGGTCTAAAGCTCAAATTTTTTTGTCCTCTGTGCAATCGAGTCACAATGTGTGACATGTCGTTTGTGAGTCTTCCCAACCTGTAGCTGTCGTAGCCTTTCGATTATAGTTTCAATTTTTTTGATATCATTTTTCTTAAATGATGCAGAGCCTTTTTCCACACCTACATATCAACAGCTTCAATGGACCGGATGTCCCCAGGCAAGAGATTACCTGTTAAACTACTAACGTATCGTTGTTAAAATATAGTATTATGCCAGGAACATTTATCATAAGGTGTAGGTGAGTCTCAGTGTGGATCCTCTTTAAGAAAAAAGGGAAAATTCTTCTAGCCTAATAGTAATAATTGGTTGTACATATTATTCCCGGTGTAAGGATAACTATAGTTATGGTTCCAATTACCTTGTTAATCACTTCATGAAGGCTTTGTTTTTTTTTTTTTAAAAAAAAAATCATTTATATATGCAGAAGTCAAAGGGTACAATAGGTTTCAAAACTTAGTAATGACATGCCATTTTATGGTAAGGCACTTGAGTAAAATTCCTTTTACGTTGACACTGCTGTTCAAACGTTTATGCTTTTGTGAAATCACGAGGATGAAAATTAAGAGTGCGCTCTACAGCGGCGGAGCCACCTTGATGTGAGGATAGCCAAATCCCCCAACTTTGTAGAAATCACAAAATTGGCTTGAAAATTTTTATAAAATTTTAGATTTTTCTCCTCAATTTTAAAAAATACCCTTACCTCTCAATATTACTTCCCCTGTAATTTAAAAAATAATCATCTCTAAACAACCGATTTCTTTTTCTTTTAAGCATCTCTTCTATGGTCCAATTGTTTCGAAGCTATTAATTAAGATATATTTAATTACTACTTGAACAGGAAAAATTATAGGAAGTAGAATAAAAATTCAAAAAAAATATTATTTTAAATGTACAATCTTGCCCCCACAGTGAGCCTAGGTCTTGGCTCTTGTCACTAATTCTCTACAAAGCCAACATATATAAATTTTATATTACCAATCGTCTCAAATCAATTTCGTGGACTATATATAACAATAGCGGATATACCGCTATTAATTTGTTAAAGCGGCTTCTCTCTCTCAGTTGCTTAATTACACATTCTTCCGTGCCCTACTACATGCAAGAATTAATGTCTTAGCACATAATTCCCAAACTAATTGATCTGGATTTCCTTTCACGCAATTAATCCAGTTTATATACCATAAGAAGATACGGTTGGTCTAGGCGAATAATGCATTAGTCACCCGGAGCCGTTTAGGACGTATAAGTGCAACTGGAGTATGACTAGCTCTTCATCACAGCCAACATGGACAGAATTCACCTAATAACTAACACTCATTCAACTGTATGAGTATAAAGAAACCGGCCCCCAAGACTAGTTCGAGCAATCAGCTTCCCCTCTTTAGGGTATGGTAAATTTACCTGGACAACCAGAATTCGAGCTCCCTTGCGACCGTGCTTGGAGTGGCGTGGGGTCTCCTCTCCCGGACCGGAGTGGGATTAGTCGAGCCAAAGGTCCGAATACTCACTTCGTCAGAAAAAAAAAAAAATATATATATATATAAAGAAACTGCAGCTTAAATTGTTTTGTTATGACTGATGAGCAATTAAACTAAACAGATGGGCTGCTTCAAATTACAATAGGGACCTTGTGTGTGTGTGATAAATAGGGTAAAAGTAAAATGAATGGTTTGAATTGGTAGGAATAAGAATGTAAGACCACCATTTAGAGAGGTTAGCGAGGATTGTTCCGTTTTCTCATGCTGCATGGCCCTATGTCCATAGCTTGCTAGCGGTCTTGCACCCACCGTAGGGGTATAGGAGGAACATAGGTCGGGCTTGGAATGGGGAACTTTAACAAAAGGCAGGCCAAGTGTCAGCATCTTGATGGCACTTAGCTTTGCCAAGTCAGCAGAGAATGACACGTCAACCAACTGTAGGATAGGGCCATGCTTGTGTTGTAATACTCCCTCCGACCCACTTTGATAGTCATCTTTTCCTTTTTTATCTGTCCAAATTGTAATCCACATTCCAATTGAAGAATGTAGTTGTATTTTAATTTTTCTAAAATACCTTTATTCAATGTAAGTTGTTATTACTATAAACCTACTCCATTTAATGAGAGTTTATTCTTTTTTTACCATCAATTCAAGTTTCTATAAAGTTGTACTCTAATTAATGTGAGAGTATTTTAGAAAAATATCTATCTAAATTGATTATTCCAACAAAGTTAACTACTTTTTCTTAAACTATGTGAAAAAAGAATCAGAACTATCAAAGTGGGACGGAAGAAGTACTAGCTAATTAAACAAGGCAGTGGGAGGACAGAGCGGTAAAGTAAGATAAATTGTAAGTAAGGAGTTTGGATTCATAATCTTTTATTTATTTTTTTATTAAAAAAAAGGAGCGTAAACAGTAGTATCTACGTATTAAAAATGCCATTCTTTCCCCTGTTTCAAATAATAGAATTAATAAAGGGTTCGAAGCACTGCAGCGTCATTCGGTTGGTTGGAGGAAACCCTAAAAATCAACTTTGTAATGATTCCGATTGACAAAACTTCCAAACTTGATTGCTGTTCTCAACCAAACAATTATCTTCTGATTTGAAACCTCATATTTTATGTTCTAAACCACCCAATAAAGATGAGATTGTTATGTTGTACTTCAGCCGTTTTATTAATTAGTTTCTTCACTTTCTGAGTTCATCCTGTTCCTTCCAAAACTTAATTAAACTGCTATTCTTTTCCTGCTCATCTTTGCAAATGGTCCTTCTCTAACTAGCTATCTCCAACCTCTCCAGTCTTCCACATGACGGCAACGGTAAAAGTAAGGCAGATGTCTGTGTTCTTCCGGTTCTATAAGCATAAGCCCATTGATTTTCTGTCCCTTTTTGCAACTTGGAAATCATGATTGAGCTTATCTTGATTACACTCACGAAGAAAGAAGGTGAGTGGGATTTCCACTGAAAAATACATTGAGATTCTTATTTCATGCATGTACATGATCGAGAAATCTGGATTATGGTTGCTGGCTTATGATAATCCTTTCCTCCATGGCATCACAATGGCCAATATGGACAAGTCTATTTCCAGGCGGACGAAGTCAAAGCGACAATCCGTTAAGTTGCTTTTCTTAAAAATTAATACATTGGTGTTGAGGATTGGGATAGGCAATCACATTTTGCTGGATGATTACCTTCATCAAGGAGGATTATAAGCACCATTTCCAGGAAAATGGAGAAGATAAAAAGCAGCAGCACTCTAAACCATATATAGTCCTTTACACGTAAGTACTGAAAAAGAAATGCAAGGCACTCGGTCGTGAACTGGAACGAAATTCCTATTGGTCCTATCAACATCCTGTTATGCACGATTAGTTAACTTCTTATAACTGGTGAATACTGATTAAGAGAATAGTTCAATGACCAATAGGAACGGTGGCGGGATTAGGGATGATTCCAGAGATCGTGGGCACCCATGCTTTCAGTGGAAGTTTCATCACCAGCAATGTCAAGGCGTGGCGGGCTTAGAAGCATTCCTTCGGCCATGTTGGTTAGAACATTTGGCATATCAAAGATTAAGTCCTCATCAATAAACTCATGATCCTTTTGATGATCAGGTGGTGTTGGACTAATGAGGTTTTCAGTTTTATCGGCTAGAGTGTGGTTCATTGCATGGAGGGCAGCAGCATTACCAGCTAGAGCGTCCATTGCTGCACCAGCAGCCGCGGCCGCACTAGCTGCAGCAGCCTGAATGTCTCGTGGAGAAGCAGAGGCAGGGGCAGGCAACGAAGAAGCTGAATTAGGAAAGTTGAGCTCAGCCTCGGGACCCTTGAGAGCAAGTGCAGCCACATCATAGGCCGCCGCCGCCATTTCAGGGGTAGGAAACGTACCAAGCCAAATTCTATTAGGTGTTCTTGGCTCCCGAATCTCCGATACCCACTTCCCACTGCTCTTTCTACGCCTCACCCCACGGTACATCGGGCGTCTCCCAGGCAGAGGAGCCTGTGAAGTGCTGCTGCCACTGTTACCACTGCTAGTGCCGCTGCTCGAGCTTGACATTATCAATTTGTAGAGTATCTCAGGTTTATTGGAAGAGTTGTGATGAATGTTTGTCGGATGTAATATGGGACAGATTTGGGGCGTAAAAGTTGGTTTGAAGACGAGGACGAATGCAGCCATTTATGGAATTGAGAGGATTTAGGGTTTCTGGTTATAGTTTTAGTTCAGTGAATGTGAGTTCCAAGTGCCAACCAGTTGTTACTGAACTGCGAGGTGCAAGGATTTGGGGTGTAATCCAGCAAGATGATGGACATCTGGGTTGGAAACCGTTTCTTCGGCTGAACAAGGATTCACCAACGTCAACAACAGTCACGTCTTTGTGCTTCTTGAGAGATTATGTAACAGTGTCCGGAAAGAGAGGAAAAAAAATAATAATAATAATAAAAGCGATTAGACATATAAGAGAGGACTAGCTTTTTTTTTTTGTTTAATCTATTGCATAATTAATTAAAGAACGTACACACGACAGTGTGACATGTTGATATCCCATGATATAACATTCTCCATATCCTGGAGTTGGGAGTTGGGCGTTGTGGCTTAAGATGACCCCACTCACGATCTCGGAACAACTAATTAGTGTTTAGCAGTCAGATGGATTCTCCATTATGCAATAAAGGATGATATTTAAGTGGTATACTTTTTCACATCTTAATTGATATATGTGTCTAAAAGCGCTGAACTTTTCACCCTTGTATGCATGTAATTCCCGAAATTCAATCTTCGAGACTCCTTTATGAATTTTTTTCCCATGATCTCAATCGGACCATCATAAAGTAACAACTGGTTGATCCATCCATGTACTATATATATATACACACACACACACTTGCATTTGAGCACGAAAATCCATTGACGACTCAGCTCTGGGATTGAATCTCCCTTATATATATAAACCCTTCTGCGAGATCTAGAAAATTTTGGTCTTAATTAGAGTCACAATTTGAGTAGTCTTCAAATATCAAATTGGGTCAAGTTTGATTAACAAAATGAGCTTTTTGCATGTTCCAAATGATTATTTTGGGTGCATAATAATTTCCAAAAGTTTTGAATCTATAGTCTTTTATAGTTTCACTTAAAACCAATTAATTGTCGCAGATCTTTCTGCTCTTGGAATCCCCTTAAGAATGTGTCATTTCATCAGATGTTTGGTCAAATATTAAGAATGTATCAAATTGCTGCGGCCAGATCAACTAATGCATTTGCGACCACTGCTTGCACGTCTTGATTCCATTTTGCATTTCTTATCGATTAAGGTATCTGACCTACAACTTTGAAAAAAAAAATAATAATTATAATAGTAAAACGGTGATGTTTGGTTACAAATTTGAACTCTTTATCTGTACTACTCACGAGAAAAAGAAGAGCAAAAAATTGCCACAAGAAGTTTGGAGTATGGAAGAAACTAATTACATGTTACTATATGATTTTCTGATAATGAGTGGCATGTCTATCATTCGTGTGAAACATTGAAACTAAAATATTGCAGTCTTTCTATGTAAACACGAACCCTTTTTTTTTTGGTTTAAGCGGCGCCACTGAAATGATGTAAATTATTAGCTCCACGACTTTACATTACAAAGTAGCCAGACGTATGGTAATGTTATATATCTTTCCTTGTACAAATTTTCTAACATTCCCGGTCACGAAGCCTGGCCGCGTCAGATTATATGACAATAGCTTGTATAAGGCTTTTTTGTTTATTTTTCTCCAATTATCCGTCCTTTTATTTTTGCGCAAGCACTATAATATAAAACGTCAGCTTTCTTCAAGTAAATCAGCATTGGAGACTCAACTCCAAGCCATCATAAATTCTATCCTTGACTAATAGATCGGTAATTAAATAATTGTTGTCCTTTAAACGGATGATAAAATTGTAATGAAGATATTTGATGGTTTAAATTCTACCATATATACAATTGGTGTTGCATGTGAACATTGAGGAACATCAACCATGAAACTGAGAATGACTAATTGGATCTTCAACAAATTAAATGTGCTAAGGTTGCATTAATTATTTAGCTATAAATAGAGGAATTTATTGTTCTTTTTTTTTAAATTATTATTTAAATCCAAAATTTCTTATTTACAATTTTTTCCATTTTACCATCGAAGCCAACCCTCTCCTAAATTTATTGTCCACTTGATTTAGGTGGATTGTAATGTGTATAGGCTCCTAATTAAGATACACAGGCTGACGGACACAAGTATATAAGTACTAGGAGGGGATCACCGCGCGTTGCGCGGTGTTAATTTCATGTTGCCCGGAAAATGCCCAAATTCATAGGTGGAGATATCATGATTTGGATGAATTGCATTTAAGTTATTTCGTTATAAAATGATTAAACTTTTAAATAGGCAGCATCATAAGAAAGCGTGAGCAAATAAAGGTGTGCATCTAACATGGTGGTGCTATGAAAAAGATCGAAAAGAAAACAATTGAGGCGAAAAAAATTGAAGTGCATCAGTATGATTCTGCTTCATGTACAAATGGGATGGAGTGTTGGGAGAAGTAAATGGGAGATTTAAAAGTATTAAACAATGAGTAAACACTATTAATATTTTCTATTATTCTGTGGAGGATTGATTATTTGTGGCATTTTTAAATTTACAACAAGCATTAATTTGACATTGTTGAATTGTTTCTATATCGTTTATTCAATTGTCTGCATGAAAATGAAAATTGGAAGGATTAACGCAACAATTCTGGACAGGACAATGGAAGTGTGATACATGGTATAAAGTTGGTGTACGCTGAGAATAAAGGGGGAGCGGACTCGAGTTTTATGCCATAACAGGCCATTGATATGAAATTAGTTAACGATTAATCTCTGATTATGCGGGAAAAGGTAGCAGCAATAATAGATGTTGGGTATTTATAATGTACTTGGTGCATGCTTAATTTCATCGAAATGCAGTCATGTTTAGCAGGAATGTAGAGTGTGCTTTAATTAAATAAAAGTTTGGAACATGTGTGATGAAGAACTTCAAGAGAAAAGCGAATTTAGTTTGTAGACAAAACCATACTGCAGATGCTAGGTACAAGCAGGACAATCAGAATAAACTTTGAAGATACAAGACCATGGAAAGACTCTCTCGACTGCATTATCATCAAAGATCAAAACTGTGAAGGTAGTCCATGATAAGGCATACATGATGGATATGTCAGCAAAATTATACCACAACCATTCAAAATAAAGACTATATCTTTACAGGGAAAGAGTTATCCAAATAAAAAGGAGGCAATCAAATTAAGATGAGCAATTTTTTCCCAAGAAAAACCAGGAAACGAATGTTACCAGTCAATGAGGAAACGAAGGAATAGTCCTGGACAGAGCAAGCCAGAGAACCCCAAAACCGAAGAAACATGCAAAAGCGCCAATAGGGAGAATGACCAAAGGTGGAAACTTCTTGTAAACATGGCCTGGAAGCAAACCCATGTTTTCCCCAATATCATTAGCCACCCCAAGCATGCTGGTTAAATCCCAGAACTGATTTGAGTGAGTGGGAGTAGAGAGGAAAAGTGGATGCATTCCCGGATGCTATTTGCAACCAAGCAGCTGCCTCAAGCCCCACCCATGATGGTCTAGTCCCTGCTTTCACGGTCACCATTTTTTTTTTTAATCTTCTAAATCAATCAGAAATTCAGTCCGACGAATTGAATTAAACAGACAAAGAAATGAGAGCGGGAGGGACAGAGAGGGAAGAAGAGTCGGGCAGCAAGCATTGATTGTGATACAGTTGAGAAAAGAAAGACGACAATGTAAAACACCGGGAACAAATAGGCAGACATGGAGGGAGGTGGAGTTTTGGGAGGAAGGCAGATTGTTAATAATAAAGACAAGAAGTAGATGTGTACTAAGGAATAAGGGAGAAGGAGGCGATGGGATGGTGAGAATAGGATAAAAAAAGCAACAGACCGAAAAAAGGCAAAAAAAAAAAAAAAAAAAAAAAAAGCTCTTACACAGCACCATCGAACAGAGTAGATAAGGCAAAAACAAAATTTCTAGTACCTTTAAATGGAAGCAATACTATCTACTCAACATCAATGATCTTTTACTGGAAACAATTATTTTGATTAGTAAAGATTTCTTTATGACGATACACACTTTAAGCTGTATAACCACAGTTAATTCTTGAAATAACATGCCATCTAGTTCATGCAAAAATCTGCTTTTTGCATTACCAGAACTTATTTATCACAAAATAGAAATAATAAGTCAAGAGTGCAAAGAATTAATATTTTCAACCAATACAAGAGGAAAGAAAAAAATTCATAAAATATACTAAAAAATCATATTGAGAAAGTCAAACCGGTAATAGAAGATCATGAAACAGCAATAAAGAAATGACAAACATAAAAACCTTACGTTTTGGACAGAGCATAAAAAATGCTCTGAGCTTCAGCTGTAACAGCAATCCTAAATCTTTCAGCCTCCAACTCAACTTGCCTGAAAAATGCCACTTATAAAATCAACCACAATAATCACAAAATAGTCCAAATCCACAACTTGGTCAGAAATTAAAAAAATAATAATTCGAAATGCGTGATAGCAGAGTCTTCTCTGGCTTGAAGATTATTAAGATCAATAAAAACATTTCTTGAGATCAAGAGGGTCTTCACCTTGACCCAAAAAAGTAAACTCCTTGATGTAATTGGCTTTCAATAGCCTAATATTCCTGTTTGGCCGTGACCCCGAATTTATTCCTTCTTGTATTTTTCAAATCCAAAGTTAAAGAATTTCAAAACCCACAAGAAAAATTACCAATTCATAATAAATACTGTAAATGCATGCGAAAATACTGAAAAGAAAAAATGAAACTTTTTAAGGGAAAATCTTGATAAAACAGGAGGAGAAGGATATTAAGAACAAGTATGTTGGATGAGCGGTCAGAGGTCAAGACTTGGCCTTGAAATTCTTCTCCAAGAGGGGTCTTGATGGAGAGTATGCATCCTACTGTGAAATCGTTGTTACTGTTATGAGCTTCCATGGATTTAGGCTTATCTTCTTTTCGGCTTGTATTTCAGCTGATTTGAGGTTTTGTAATGGAGCACCAGTTTCCGAAGAGGAGAGACAGATGAGAGGAAAAAAATGAGGGAGCGAATGTACGGAAGCTCAAAAGATAAGACTAAACCCATTGCCCAAAAGAAAAATCGTGTGGTGTGGAAAATGGAAAGGAAGAAAAAAAAAAGGGAAAAGAAAATGAATGACAAAGAAGATAGACCACAATCGGTGCTCTACAAAGGTACAACCAATTCCCCCAGCTCACTTACTCTCTGACAACAGAGGAAGAAGCAAGAAACGAAGAGGAATAGAAGAGATAAAATGGTAATATCAACGGGGCTAGGAGCCCAACGACCACATTACCAAATCACTGCTTCACCGCTTCAACAGCAACCACAGGGGGAAAATAGTTTTGGTAAAAATTGTACGAAATAGCAAGAAAGAAGGAGGAACAGGGAAATGAACCAGTCTCATCAGTAGAATCAGGTTGATCCCGGGAAAGAAGACAAGAAATCATGGAGAAGTTGTACGGTAGAAGATAGAACAGAGCTCCGGTGGCAAGATCAAGAAAGAAGAAGCGTAATATCTGCCAAAGCCACATTACCAACAACATGCTTCATGTTGACAGCCACCTAATCCTCCAGAAGGAAAGACGAGATTAATATTTGCAGGCTCGGCAAAGCAATTTTGTTTAGAAGCTGAACACTGAGTGGTTCTAACATTAGCACGGTAGGCAGTACATGACTGACCAAAAAATTTGTAATATTTCACCTGCAAGATCAGAAATTTATGCATATTAGACAAATAAAAAATTTTAAAAAATAAAGGGCTAAATAAAATTTGGCAGGAAGGGAAGAACTTTAAAACAAAGAGCCTCTCTAAGAAGAAGAGAGAGCTTGGAAGATGAAGAAAACCATCTTGGTCATTGTTGCTCTCAGGGGGAAGATGAAATAAAAGAGAGAGAGAGAGTTGTTCTAAGAGGTTAGAGAGTGACGGTCGATGAACAAAGAGGGAAAAAGGAGACTTTTGATGCATCGAACCCAATCCCTGTCAAATCCCACCAAAAAGAGCTGTTATGGAGAGAGGAAGTCTACCCACCAGAAAAAATGTGTTCTTCGGCAGCTGTCCAGAGGAGAGGCGAGACTCACAAATCGCAAAGACAAGGAAGAAGGGCAGCAAGATAGAGCGGTTTTGGTTTCAAAAGAAGGGCAATGTCGTCAAATCATGGCAACCCACATTGAGCCCATCACCCAGCACTTGCCATCGATCAAGCCATCAGCAACCGTCATAAGCTCAGCTAGCAAGCTACTGACGAGGGAAAGGGTACTGACGGCACTGAGGAACGGTTCCTTCTCAAAACCGAAGGTCCTTCCTTACTTCTTCTCGGACAACAGCAGGAAGTCCAGCTCTCGTCTTCTTGGCGTACTGACGGCACTGAGGAACGGTTCCTTCTCAAAACCGAAGATCCTTCCTCACTTCTTCTCGGACAACAGCAGGAAGTCCAGCTCTCCTCTTCTTGGCGGAAGCACGCGAAGCGCACGAGAATGACGACCAAACTCCAGCCAATTAAATGGAGACACCTCAGCACAACAACCACCATCCTCAGCAAACCCATTCGCTCTTTTACTATATAGGTAGATGAATATTTTTCCCAAAATGTTTCCCTGCTTGTTGCATTAGAGCTTCTTTTTTAATGTCTTTTCTTATGTTTCCCTTCAACACGTCTATATTTGCTTTAGTCTATTAATTGTCTTTTTCTTTTTTTTTGTTTGTGGCAAGACATACACGCTTCGTCAGTTGACTTATTATATATTGTTTAACATTTGTCAGAAATAGTTTGCTAAGTAAGATCGAGAGTACACTTAAAAATGGATGGAGTCGTTTATTGACCTTTATGATTAAAATTGTTCGATTATATCGCCAAATTTGGTTTTTTTTTTTTTGTCAACACAGGAATGTTCGGGTCAATTTTTACGGGACCCAACTAATCCCCTGCGGCCCGGGAGAGAAGGCCCCACTCCACACCGAGCGCCATACCCTAAGGAGGGGGAGCGGACCGCTCGAACTATCCCATGGAGGCAGAAGACCAACCACGTAAAGTGGCAAGTTTATGGGAGAACCCCTGCCCTTCAGCATTACCAAAGATGGTGATGACCACCGGACCAAATGGCCAGTGGCGCCAAATTTGGTACCTCTAAAGCGTTTTCTGCTTGTTTTTACAAGCAAAATTGATGGTTCTCTGAACTGCTAAAGCCTCTGCCAGACATGTACGTAGCTAAAACAACTAGGCGCAGATGCCCGGTTCGCAGACGATTCAAACACTAAAACCAAAACTTTCGAAAAACTACAAGTCTTTTGGGCACAGAAGAAAATGGTAGTTCTTTAATACGCATAATTTTTTGTTTTTTTTTGTTACTCAAAAAATGATAGCTGAGAAAGAGCAGTAAGTAACACGATTAAACTTGAGTTGCGGGTAAAGCAGTAAGAGAAACTGAAAGATTCCTGACGTTAAAGCTAGCGCACTATGCATATCTGAGTGTGATGGAGCCATCTACCGACCTGATTGTGATTAGGCTAATCACCCTCTTGCACCTCAATCCTAAACCATTTTTTTCCCTTTCCAAGTTAAACTAAATGGCCCTGAAGACCAGTAAAATTTTACTGCTTAGAGCAATCTTCTGTAATACTCCACAGAGACTGATAGACATGGTATTCAGGAAGCTTCGCTCTCCTGTCTTGATTTGGCCCCTGGCTATCGTCCACATTTCTCTTTAATTTCGTAATTTTACCTACCAAAAAACTTAGGAAAGATTAAACAAGGATAATCTTAAGAACAAGGATAGCCCCTCCAAATTTTGAAATTACAACGAATTCTCATTTTCAACATCTTCCTTCCATATTCATGTGACCAGAATATGTTTTTGGAATTTCATCCTGGGAGCACGGAAGGTTATCAAGAAAAGATGGTTGGTTAAATTACTCTCTCTTTTTTTTTTTGGTAAGAGGTTGGTTAAATTATTATGATTCTACAGTACAGGTCCTCTAAGTGTGCCAGGCATTAGGAGAGGTCAATCCAATTAGTCAAAATTGACAGGTAAAATTGGTAGGTCCAAAAAAAATTGAAATTTGATTGTGCAACTCGGGATAAAAATAGTGGTTTTGTTAGCAAAGAGAAAGTTTCACTGGTTTTGTTCCTAGATTGAAGCGGAACAAAGTAGATTACAGATTACTGAAAGAGGAAACATATGTCGCAGAAAGTTTCACAAACTTTTATTCCTAGATTTTATCGCCAAAAAAGTTGAAAACCGGAATACCGGAAGTGGAAGGATTTAATGTTGTGGTTGTATGATTGATCAGTTTTCTTTAGATCACTGAAGCAATTTTACGTCAAGGGATGTAAAATTGCTGAAAATGTGGGGAACTTCTGATCAGATCAAATTCTCATCCCATTTCCTATTTATATTCTAGGGATAATTTTAGAAACCTCCCCGAGGTTTGTCATAATATCACTCAACTCCTCTGATATTTTTAAAATCTCACTTACCTCCCTTGTCAACTTGACAATACTAAATATTCCTATCAAAGCTCACAAATTGACAACATTACCCTTACTCTTAATAGCTATTTAACCAAAAAGCCAAAACAAAATAAAATTTTAAAAGAAAAAATGTAAATTAAAAAAAAATAAATTGCTAGCTAATAATGAGCCATATTTCTTTATATTGGAGTCATGGTGGGATAGTAAAGGATGTGGATAAATTAAATCTAATCGAGATCAACCACTTAAGAGGATTGTGGTGAGTAATTAACACCTTAAAAAATTTCGTGCACAATTACAATTAAGGAAGTCAAGATAATTTTTTGGGTAAATATGTTTTCATTCATGGTGTAACTTAAGTTGTATTAAAAACTAAAATAATCTCTTTATATGTGTGAATTTTTCAAGGTATAAATGTAGCTTTTGTTCTAATACAACTAAAATAATTAGTTTACGTTAAGAAATTTACACCTTATAAAAATTTAACCTTATTTTATTTTTATTGTTATCATAAATTTCATAAGTAGGATAACATAAGGGTAGTATTGGAACAAAAGTTTTATTTTTCTTGTATTTCCTCCAAATGGGGTAAAATGTTATAAGAAATGCCAATCCAACGGTGGCAATTGAGATTTTAAAAACCTCAGGGGAGCTGTTTGATATTATGAGAAACCTCGGGGGAGGTTTCTGAAATTATCCCTATATTCTAAATTAAAGAAATTTTTTTAATCTTCATTTTTATTTCCGAGAAAAGACTTTTAAAATATGTTTTGCATTTTACCTGATTTCAACTCGATTTAATCAAATTCTTATAGTTTGTGTTTACAGTGCACTGCTAGTGGTTATCGTAGGTTCAACACGGCTGACGACCTATTAAAAAAAAAAAAAAAAAAAAAGAGGAATGGCTCAATGAATTCTCTGCCAAATGCAATTGTTTATACCGATTTATAATCACCATAAACGTGCATGTATTAAATAATTGACAAAATCCCGTTATGGCAAATCGTTTTGGGAATGAAACTAAGAAACGGGGACACGAAGCAAAGGCCAAATAATTTATTAATTAAGTTTTTCTAAAAGGGTTTCAAGAAAACGCATCAGATGATTTTGGGATGGGGAGGTAGAAAGGAAGACTTTATTTGCCATGTATCATGATCAAACCTAAACCCACCACCACTACTACGGCTACCACCACCACCACCACCAGCAGGAGCGGTACTAGTGGGGAAATAAAACGGCGGACATCTACCACCGTAGCATTCAAGATATCCTCCCCCAGATGAAATCTACGTCCCAAAATTTGCCTTTTCGTCCCATTGGCGCGAAGTTCATGGTTTTGTGACGCACACCAAGGGGACCAATGCTTTTGAAAGAGACTTTTGTACATAGTATTATTGATGGCGTGGACCCTACCCAAACATGAGCACAGAATCCCCAATCCCAGTCCCAGGATAAGGTTCATTTGGAGATCTCGAAGGCCATGATCTGTCTGGTACTACTGTGCATGGCACTGTTACCGTGTTAACCCACATCACACACTGCTCCTGAGTCCCTGTCCTGCAGTGCAAAACATTCAATTTCGATGGCGACT